TGATGCTGAAATCAAATGCAAATGAAGATTTCCAACTCCCATAACAACACCGCGAAACGAATTTTCGCCTTACAGATAAGGGGGTTTCTATGTGAATTGAAACTTAAGGCACCCTGTATGCAGGAAAATTGTAATTAAATTGCAGAAAATTATGTTCATTATGAAATGACAAACCAAATGGAGTATAAATCAGGTAACAGCTGTCAAATTGACCAACACCGAAAATAGAGTTGCCTCATTGAAAATCACGCGTCTAAAGAAACATGCTTTACATACAGGGTTCTCCAATAAGAGGTGCTATTGTGATATTGAGATATCAAATCGAATGTTTATTTCAATGATAATGAAAAGCAATTTCAGCCAAATGGCCGTCACGCCTACGCTTACAGCACCGTAACCTTTTTATGAAGTTTTAAATCACCAAATCACAAAGTGGCTGCTGTATGCCCTCAATAGCTTCACGAATTCTATCTTTGAGGTCTTGAATCGGCGATGACCACATGGCGTAGATTTTATCTCTCACGTGGAACGAGTCGCAAGGTGTTAAATCCCAAGATAACGTTGGCTTATTTCGATTACTTCTTCGAGAGATAACACATTTCGGAATTTTCTCCCTTAAATGTTTGATGGTTTCGTTGCTTGTATGGGACGTAGCGCCGTGTTGTGGAAAGTAAATGATGTCCATTTCAATATCAACCAATTCTGGACATGAAAAATCATTAATCATCTCTCGATAGCGCAATCGGTTCACTGTCACTGTTGCTTCAGCTTCATTTTCAAAAAAATAATGTCACACAAAGCCATCAACCGTTCGGAGGCGGCTTAGTATAAATTGGAGGCCCTTACATTTGTTGGAAAAATGTCAAGACGAAAAAACTCGGAGGAGGAATTCGACCAAAAAATCACTTTAGCGGTTACAAAGCGAAAATTATATAATATTGGGTCACACATTGAGGATGGAGAGTCTTTTCAACAATAATTCTTGGGCTTTTCGTACTGCAGATGCATCAGTTTTGCTTATTGACGTAGCTGTCAAGGTAGAAATGGATCTCATCAATCAAGATGATTTTTCATTGGAATTCCGAATAATTTTCATGCATTTCAAGGACGCAATCAGCAAAAACACGAGGTTGTTGATAAACGACCGACATGAGTTCTTGTGTTAACTGAACTTTATAAGTCTTAAGACGTAAGTCTTTATGAAGAATACGCTGTAATGACGTTTTTGGAATGTCCAATTCCCAAGAACGACGACTGGGGTTTTTTCAACACTTTGGGCCACAGCAGCAATATCTCAGTTGTTCTGAGACAAAGCGCACGTGTTTTACGCCTCACATCACAAACTTGTCTCAACAGCTCCATTTTTCCACCAATTTCTGAATAACGGTCCAACAAGGTAATTTTTACTTCTCAAATGTCAGAAAATTACAGGTTCAAAAGTGACGTCTTGCCTTCTCAAAATACAATCCTTATGGGAAAACCCTTTATATTAGTGGACCCACGTCTCGATTTCATGCTTTTGAATTGACTCCAGAGTGATAATAAAAATTAAAAAATATTTCAAATCTTAATGCGAATTATTTGAATGAACCGGAATTCAGCAAAAAGCGATTTTGAAGAAACTGGTTTTTCGAAGTTCGAGTTTGAATCATAGTATGAATAGTATGAATAGACCGGTACCTGGTACACTTTGCGGAAACAAAAGAAAGCATTCCTGTTAATCTAAGCAAAAGGCTACCTAAGCACCAAACTCCAAGTAATCAGAACCATAAATACGATTTTTTCGAACAGGTCAGCCATTGGTCCACTTGATAATATTGGCATATCGATTCGATCATGTCATGACATTTTTTTTTCTTCAATGTCAGCAAAGTTTGTTCCAAAATTGTAAAATTTTGAAGTAAACCGGGGTGAATGGCATTGATATTCTTTTGACCAGTCTCCATTCCAGCCAAACATGACTTCGTGTGACCTTTTCTATTTCCAAGAATCTAGAGAGCCTTGAAGAGCCGTCGTGGATATTAAAAGCGCATTGTTGAAGGAACTAAAGACTATCTTAAAGGTTGAGTTTGAGAAATGTGCTGACACGAAAATATAATCCCTAATGGGGACTCTTCTGAAGGCGAACAAAAAATAAAAAAAAAATTCTCAACACACTCCATACATCTGAAAGGGTCATGCATTTCACAGTTTGTTTTACATACGTCCACTATGAGGTGCTCAAAATATCTATAATAATCTTGAAAGGATTTTGAAGTTAATCTCGTTAAGGTTGGTGCCTCCAGTAACTTTATTAAAAATCAGTTTTCGCTCGCGACTTCTTTTGCATGGAATTTGAAATTACTTCGATTAAAATTATTGTATAAATTTAGGGATAGAACTATCTATCTATGTTCCAATGATCCAAAAAAATCGAAACATATAAAGGAAAAAAGTATCATTTCATTTAAATTGGTCCATATATAATCAAAAATGATCAAAACCGATTAAATAGTTGCGGAGTTCATCACTCACAAATATACAAGTTTTGTGCCGTTTTTTTTAACGCTTTAAAGGTACATATGTGAATTTCGAAAAATTCGGCATCCCTCCAGCAGATTTCTTAATGCAAAGAATTAGAATTTAATTGCCTTTGAACCGTTTTCAAATTTTCTCAGAACCATATTCAAGAATAGGCTTAGCGAGATTGGTAATTAGTAGCAGAGTTGGGAAGCTAAAAGTGTTTCAGCTCTATTAACACATATACATACATACATATTTATATGATATCTGTGAACGAGGTGAAGGTATCGTACTGAGCTGTTGAATTAATGAATGTATGTATGTGAAAGATTGCCTACCTTGCAACCAACTCGAGGGAGAGCCGCCTATCCAGCCGCTCGAGCTGCCTTTTAGCAACGGCTTAGTCGTATTAAAACTGACAAAAAAAAATATTATTTTATTATTAAAATAAAAAATAAAATTGATGTTCACTAAATGCAATAACAAAGCTATCCCCACAGCCCTTATTACAGTTATCAACAGACAGACAGCCAGACAGCCAGGCAGGCAGGCAGGCAGGCAGTCAGACAGACAGTAGTGTTTGAAGTAGAAAAACAAAACCGCAATATTAATAAAAAAAAGAAGACAATTTGAAGAAAACGTATAGCTTTTGTAAAATATATTTATAAAATAAAAAAAAAATATGCATAGTTCATTACACAAGACACAAAAAAAAGAAAACTGGCATGCGATGGTATGCCATTTTCTAAAATATTTTCTTTAAAATTGAATGCATGCATTGGGCGAGTACCTAGAAATTTACAAATTAAAATAAATATAAATTAAATATTTTTCTTTCTTTTTGGTTTTATTAAGCTTAAGTTCGTTGTTTTTTTACAACTATAAAATAAACATAAAAATGTGTACATACAAACAATGTAGCAATTTAAGAATTGCATATGACTTGCAAACATATTTGGCGCGAAAATTTTTGTAAACTCGTCATGGCATTATTTCTTGTTGTTGTATGTAAAAAAGGAATATGTAATAGATTCTAAATGCGAGACAGTCAAAATAAAACGTAATGAAACAAAAAATTATTGAAAAAAAATTAAATGTATTTTGCTGTTTAATTCTTCGTGTAAACAGGCAAGTACATATGAATTACTAATAAAAATTATTTTACTGGCGCCTTAAGGTATGCAACGTGTTTTGCTATTGCGTTTAATCTAAACTATTTTGTTTTGTAACGAAGTGTGGCACACCAAACTTTACCAGGCGCACAGAAGTGCTTAACAGCCGCAGACCGGAAGTATAGCTGATAAGCCTACATACGCCTCAAAATATGCAATAATTTATAACTGTTTTCCTTTCGATTCCTTATCAACTAAAATGTGCACAAAAAATTCACGTAAAATCACCAAATCATCTAACAGGCACTCAGTAGTGTGTAGCAAGGAACAGCGTGTTAAGTCATTTCAAACGCCTTTATGTATGCAACAGTTTTTGCCGACTTTTTTCTTACGCGAAATGCGCGCCGTTTCTGAAGAGGAAATTCAATACTGCTGGCCTCGCAGCATCTTGATTACGGTTACATATGATTAAGCGCCTCAAGGTAGGCAACTGGTTTCACTAATTCCCCTATAGAAATAGCAATTAGATAGATATTTTTAACATTTATGCATGCATAAAGAAATATTTAAATACGTTTTAAACTATATTAATAATAAAATAAAAATCAATTTTTGTTTCTTTAATTCAAATATTATTTTAATTATTTTTAAAATTTCCATTAGCAATTTATAAAGTAAATATTGAGTAATGTATTATATTTTTATAGGAAATAAACTAAAAATAAGTTTTCTTTTCTCACTCATTTTATACTTTTTCCCAATAAACAGCTGAGTATGCTGCCGGGGAAAAAAGTATGTTATACTTTTTTTTTTTTTTTGAATTCAAAAAAGTGTATATATGTATGTATGTGCATACATACATAACTAGAAGGAAAGAGGTAAAATAAAAATTACATTTTTAAAATTCTAAAATTACAGCATATTCAATTCGTTTTTTGTTGTAAATAACACACATAAAGTGACTAAATTAATAATGTCTTACAAATCGGTACATTTAATTACGTATACAAAAGTGCTTAAAAATAATATATATATATTTTCTTTTAAATTACTAACTAATTTGTTTAACAATGAATTATATGAATAGCAAAGTATATTAATAAATTATGGTGTCGGGCACACGTCTCGGTCTGAGCATAAAAGTTCCGAAAATAATTGTAGCTACATTCACAGCGCATTAATCCATTGCAAAATGTAAAAGAAAATAATAATAATTTAAAATACTAAAAGAGGCAGCTTATTTCATTTATTTTACTAGATATTATTGTATTGTATGTGGACATTTACGTCAGGACATACGAAATTTGTAATAATTTAAAACTCATTCGTAAATTTAAATTAGCATTAAATAAATTTGAAATACATAAATAGAAAACTAGTCGTTCAACGAAAAAATTCACATTTTTTTACTTATTTAGTTTTTTTTTTATGAAAAAGAACATTTATTTGTGCGGCAAAATATGCTCAATTTTTTTTAGCACACTTTTTGCAAAATTATCAGTATCTCTCTGGCACAGTTTATTATTAATATACTTCGCTTCTTACAGAAAACTTCTGCTCCAATTGAAAACCGACCTCTTTAGACGTTTTTACATTTTCGCAAAATATGTTTACAAATAAAAGTATTGAAAAATTCGTGTTGTAGCAAACAAAAGGAAAACAAATCACAAGATTACAATTCAAATTTAAATATAATATGTATATATTCATATCTATTAGCCTAATTTATGGTAAAAGTATTACAGCATAGTGCATTTTTTTCATTTTTATATAGTCTTTTTATACGTTTGAAACTATGTATGTATGTAGTATTTTTAGTACTTTTTTAAAATAAATATATGACTTGAGCATTTTGGCTAATGCTTCCAGAGCGCTTTTCGTCCAGCCGACATCAACATCCAACGTTCAGTCTCAAAGTATATAATATATACATATATGTATGTATGTACGTATGTATATATTAATTAATTATACCAACTTAAACAGCAATTCGTTATATCATACTGTTGCTGTTATGCCATTTAAACATCATCATTATCATTACTGCCGCGTGGTCGCTTCAAACACAACTCTATGGCATTGTCATGATCGGATAAACTCAATTTAGATTTTTTAATATTCGAGTCGAGTACACGCAGATTACTTGTATAATTCTGTTCTATTTTACTCAGGCTTAATGACATTTCTTTTGCGAGACTTTTAGCTGTCTGCGCTAGTGTAACCGGCATACGGCCACAACGTTTTATTGGACTTATCAAATCGGATTGTTTACACTCGTGCAGCTCACCATAGTCCAGCACCTCCCATTCGCCATTCTCCATATTCCATGTGAACAGAATGCGACATTCAAATTGTCGCCGATGATAAATACAATCCAATTTAAGCGAACAATTCAGACAATTTGTTGGCGAAGTTGGCAACTGATCACGTGCGGTGAATTGAGCCATAAGCAAACAAATAATCGTCTGACTTAGCGGACAAACCTATTGTGGGTGTAGGGGTGGTGAGGAAAAATTAAAATTATTCACGACATAAAATTTACATCGAAAATGCACTTTTTTAAAAAAACTCACCCTGATCAACTCGCAGGCCCAGTCATAGAAGACATCATAGGTTTTCTCATTTTTCTGACACAATGCGCTTATGGTATAGTATGTGAATGTCTCCAAATCGAAAGAGTGTTGCGTAATCACGACGCTGGGACAGTTCAGTTTTTGGTATGTGGCTTGGGAAACCATTTGCATTTCCGAATAGCAGGAGCCGTGCACCTCAACAGGCAGCGATGTATGGTAACCGGGCGAAATGCAGTCATCTAAAGTAAGAAAATAAAAACATATATTAAAAATTCAAACAAGGAATTTGTGGTATTTGATATTGGAAGGATGTTTTTTACACCGTTATAGAGATGAAGCTAAATTTCTTTTGGGCGGAAGTTATACGAAGAAAAAAAATAGATCTTGATGATTCAGTTCGTAGACTTTTTACCTTCAGTAGGCACAAAATTTCAAGTTTCCAGCAATTAAAGGAGATTTATGGTCCAAGACTTCATTTTTAAAAAGTTATTAGCATTCAGTCTCAATCAATATCTGCCGAAGGACAACGTCTTTCTATATGTTTTGATGTTGATATGGCCAGGACTCCAATATAAGATTTTTGGATCCGAATCGTGGAAGCTTTAAATGCGTTCTAATCGCTACTCAGTTTTGTCGGATTCACGAAGTTAACCCATTCTCCAAATTTGACACTCGAAACAAACATTTTAGGTTACCAAAAGCTCTAGAGTGCAGTCGTAGGACTGCAGCTGGAAGCGAAAGATGGTTTGATATGCGATGTTTTAAGAGTTTAGAAGTCATATGGCTGGAAACTTCGTTGGAACGGCTAAGTTCGTAAGTTAGTAGGTATTGTTGTTGTTGTTATAACCCGCAAAAATATTCCCTTAAGTTATTTTTGGGGAATTTTGCGGGAGCGACAGTCCTTGGCCGGATATAAATCCGAGTTGTTCCGGTAGAAAGACCCGACTGTGGCGAGAACTATTGGATTTTAGTCGCCTGCCTTACGGCGGGTAAATTATTAGAGCGTCGTGCTGCCAGCCCTAAAGTCTTCAGGGCTAGTCATGTAGCACGGGGTTCACTTCGCATGGATCTTAAACTCTGAGCATGAAGGAAGGAATAGTTGCGTCAGCTGTGGCAAAAAATATTCCGTTGGACTCAATGCCAGTTCCGATCAGAAAGTTTTGAAGCAAAATTACTACGATTTTCTTCGATGATGTTAAAGTTTTACCTATCAATCTAAAGGGTGACGGCACTTGGTCGGTTAGAAAAATCAGGCTCAAGGGCGGCGCGCAGAACCGGCTTCGCGGAGATTTTCTCGTGCATACAAACTTTTATTATCAAATCACATTCATATTGGCTTACCCTCTTCACTGGTTATAACCGAAGCAGCATCGTCCTCTTCAACAAATCGTCGTTTGAATTTTTTCGTACATAGCGGTTTCTCAGTCACTGCGCCCGGATGTAACGGCAACTCTACCACACGATTCTCTTCTCGTCGCGGCGACAGGTATGGCGCATTTGCATTCGGTGACATCGCACCACTCAAGTCCAGATGACGTTTGGCCAGCGATACTTGCAATGGTGATAAAGTACCTAACGGCTTGAAACTTAACATTTGTTGGGTGGCTGTTGAGATGGTTTGTGGCGGTGAAATGGAGCCGTAAATGTGTGCTGATGTGACATGGCGACTGGGAGATCGTATGAGACCACCACCTGCCACCGGTGAGCTGCAAGGTGGCGAACGAAAACCCTGCTGTAGTGATGTTATGGGCGAGACACGATGTATGGGCGGTGGCGTGCAGTGGCGCGCATCGCCGTAATTGGACGGTGAAGCGTGTGATGGACGTGGTGACGATGATGGTGAAACGCCAGGTGAATTGTAGAAGTGATGCGTGCCACTGGCCGCCGTTGTGGTGGCTGAGCGATGTAGTGAACGTGAACCGCTGCTGCCATACGATGCGGTGTAATGAGACATGGTAAGATTTTTGCTTGCGGAACGTATCTTCGTAAACGGCACAATATTTTCGGAATTGTCTTCGGAAAATTCATACTTTTTATCAGCTAAACGACGCTTACGCAATGTCGAAATCTTTTCACATTTCTCATTATCCTCAGTAAATTCATATGCATTCAGACGATCAGCCATGGTGGCAGAAACAGCTGGGCTTGTGGTTGTGGGCATTGTTGTCTGCAAATCAATGGTGGTGACGCCGTTGCGGAAGGATTTTGTGACAATACGATGATGACGTCTGCCACGATGATTAATCAAACTGAAACGTGCTGTGCCGCCGCCGCCGCCACCAGGGCTACTATTTATACCAGTCATTGCAGTGTTCGCTGCAGTTTCAGCTGTTCGGGGAACGTTATTTGCAGCACTGCTAGTCGAAGCTACACCAGTATTCGTCGAAGCGCTGCCACTGCAGGTGAATATGACTTCATCATATGTTTTACGGGAAATAAATGTCACAGCCGAACCCGGTGAGGTTATAGATGCTTCACTTTGTGACGCACGTGTAGGAGTTTCGCTAGAATGCGTTGAATCCGTCTCAATATCACTAAAATCGGCAATAATACGGGCGATAACGTTATTGTGATTATCACAACTGGCCTGCTCATCGGCAGTGAGTGGCAGTATACGACGTTCCATGCCGAATGTGCTTAACCCTGAAGACTCATGGCACGGTGTGCTACGACTAGATAAAATATTGGGTAGTTGATGTTGCTGTTGTGTAGGTTGCGACTGAGTGCTGGTTGCACCTGCAGCAGGCATTAACTCAATGTGCATCATATGCATAAACCCGTTGGATACAATCAAAATACGTTCGGGGCAAATGAGGTTTATATGCGATTGAAATTTTGGATCGGACTCTGTTGAAGAATACTTAGTGTGTATTGTTAGGTTGCACTTCAGGCACAGCATATGCCAACGAAAGTCTGCAAGCACAGCTTGGTTATATAAATCTTAGATTTTATCACAAACTAATTACTTACATGTACTATCTTCATTATCTCGCAATTTTCTACAATCCAAACAACCGAGTTTAGGAACTTTTACGTAGGTTATATAAGAATCTTCATTCTCATTTTCCGCAGCGCCATGTACAATGAGTATGCGAGGATCGGAACACTTCCACTGAGTCATTGTAACTTTCTTAAGATTGTCAACACCATGATCGTCAAAGAGACAGCACTTGAAGAAACTCCGTAGTGGTTTGTGCGGTTGGTAGACCCAAAAGTACAGGCTAAGAATGTCAAAGGCGAAGTTTTGCTTTTGAATTAAAGTTTGTATTAGGGTGAAAAGAAAAGTACTTACGTATACTTATAGCCATAACCAAAAGAATAGTGGTTGGCCATAATATTGTCATTGCAGCAAACTTTATAGCTTAGTAGGAATTGTCCACAGGCGCTAAGGCCCATAAACATGTGTCTAAAATAGAGCAGAGATTATTTACTTGCTTTAAAACATAATTTTTATCTCACTCACCCTTGTAGGAAGCACTTCGGTACAATATCCTTGAGGCAAAATCTTAATCTATTTGGCACTTGATCGAAAGCGCAATGCATTGCACGTGCGGAACCGGTTTTTCCTGAAATATTATTAGTTCGCTGCAAGGGCAGAAAAGTATTAGCGTCTTATCGTAAAGCAATTTCCAATTCCACTATACCTCTCTATTACAAATTTTGTGCACCAAATTTTTTGGGTTGCTATTTGCATCGAATATAAGCTTTGTAGAACATATTTGTTGCTGCCCACCACTGCTAGCACCATCCGAATCATCGGAACTATCTTCAACCGTTGAAAAATCATCTTCTTCTTCGGAGGAAGCGTAGAGTGATTCAGCAAAAGCATGAAAATCTGCTTCCATTACCACCGTTTGTACGATAACTCACTTACAAACTTCCTTATGCAGCAGTCGCCACCCCGCAGCAAACAAATTTTTGCACACCGTATACAGACTTGTCTTTCCGCTCCTTCACTTTCTCGTTCCCTTCCTGACTAGACTTATTAACCAGTCTACCAAAACGAGACTAGCTCGTCTACTTGTTTGTAAATTAATGCATTCCGCTTATCAATCTCCTTTAACTCTGTGCTTTCTTTGGATGCTTACACACGTTAACAATTGAATTCTTGAGCAATTTTTTAAATGTATTCGAATTAATTTTGTATAAAGATATATTTCTTTCTACAACAGCGAAATGCACAAAGGTGAAATGAAAATCTTACTACAGTCAGCGTCGCCGCTGATGTTTTTTTTTTCTTTTCGCAAGGCAGAGACGCCGCAATTGTCAGGCCCAAATGAAAGGGAAATATAAACAATGCCATTTAATATTGTTGGCGAAAGTGAGAGGCAGCACTTATATGACAGCTGTTTTGACAATCAGCTTGTTAATCATCCGGCATTTTGCAAGGTTGCCATATTAGCTATTTAATAAATGAAATGAATTGTAACTGACTACTCTTGTGAAACGGGTAAATGGCTAAAATTTTCAAAACTTTACAATTTTTCTTTCAATAATTTGAATTTTCTTTGTTGACAGATCTTATGGTATCATTCGAGGCCCTTCCAAAACAACAAATAAATATCTTTTTACAGTGGAAGTAGCTTACCCATTTTTAAATCCCAAGAAATTTGTCTTCATATCTGAAAAATCTCGACCCTCTTACTATGCATAAATAGGAGAAAATCCGCTGAAAATCCGTTGTTCGACAATGCCAAATAAAAAGATGGTGCCTAACCCTGCTGGTTAAGGGCTAGGGGCACAAGAATTTTTCCGTGGTAAGACATGCCTGTCGTAAGAGGCGACTAAAATCCCCACAAAAGTCGAGTCTTTATACTGGAACGACAGCCATGGAGATGCACTCCCACATTACAGAACGAAAACCAATTCGAAGAATATTTTGCGGTTACAATAACAATAACAATAACAACTTTGACTGCAATGAGAGAGTTAGAGAGGGAATCTAGTAGACGACAAAAAAGAAGAATTCTTAGTCAACTTCGGTGGGTGGAACCGGCTATCGTGAGAGTCGTACTCGACTATAAGGACTGCATTCAGTGCAACAAACACAAACCACTAGACAAGGCAGCTTACCAGCAGGCTTTACACGGAATTTACCGAGTCCGATAATACCTTTTTGAACTCTCTTCCAAAACCACCACCCATTGCAGACAAAGAGTTCAAAGAGTCCGGCGTTATATTGGCAGATCGTTTTCTTGACCTCCCGTAAGTTGACCTCGATGAATTAGTCTGATTTAAGACTGACTAAATCACACCGCTGACAAAGTTATCCGTCAGGACGAATGGGAACTTATCATTTCCTGCATGTTCGTTGTATGGTCACGGCGAAAGAACATAACCTTTCATCATTTAGGTAATCAGATAATTTGAAATCCTTAGTCCATCGATAAAATTAATTTCTTTACTTAATTAGATTGAGAATCTTAAATTTTTCTTAATTCATTTTTCATAAATAAATTATTTTATTATTTTGCTAAATTCATAAAAAATAAATAAATAAATACATAAATAATATTTGTCGTATACACATATGTATGTAATTCACAAAGCCTAACGAAACTCGAGTTCCATTTAGTTTATGCGCCCGAAACATTTGTCGAAGAGACGGTGGTAAAAACTTCGGAGCCCCTGCCCGCCTCAGCTGGAATGGTTCTCTCAATGGCCATAGGCGAACTGTTAGCAGATGACTGCACCCTATTCTTTTCCTTTTGTTTCTGAATCTTTTTCAGCCAAATACCAGCCAAACCTTGAATAGGCTTTGGTACTTCATCTGCTGGTGCTGACGAATCTCCACTCATGGCGGGCAGTTCGGGCAGCAATGGATAATTTTTGGGTGAGTCATAGATTAGCCAATTGTCCGGTCTGAAAATAAAATATTGAAATTGTTTTTGGTTTTATTTGGAGCTTAAATGTTCAAGATGTCTTTAACTCACCGCTCTAATTTTGTTAAAATTTTTATTGGCGCAAAGGCGACTTGGTTGGCAAATGTCGGTATGTCCTTCGCGCTTTCGGTTTCAGTCTTTTTTGTGAGCTGTCGTTCATTCGTTAGTGTCTTGATTACCGTTACTTTGGAAGCAATTAGTGCTTCAGTCGTCTCGTCTTCATAGTCTTCGGCTAAAATGTCATTATCGAGATGTTTACCCTCGATTTCCGGATAGTTTGTTGTATTATCAGTTGACTTTGGTGTCGAGCTTTCTGTGTACAGTTTCTCATTAGTTGTTACCGTTGTTGGTTCTGTTTCGTTACTTTGTTGTAATGTTTTAGCTAAGTAGTTGCTTTCCAACAATTCGTTGGTTGCGTTCAGTACCGGTAATACATAATTGTCGTCTAAGATTTTGGTAGTACAGTTGTTGGTAGCCGTCAAGTTTCTCAGTTCGTTTTCTTGTGATTTTACCATTGCTTGTATCATAAGTTCTGGTCGCATGTAACCGTCGCGGACAAATTTTTCGCTCAAGTCCGACCCGTCACCGTCGCTGTCGCCATAATCGTAATCGTCACCATCATCAACATCGCCCACCTCTTCGCTAAAATCATCAACTGTGGTGTTGTTCTTCATTATAGGTTCAAGTGTTCGTGAAATTTCGATTTCGTCATAGTCGCTGAGTGTGAGTACATGTTCGGAATTCGTCTTCTTGTGCAGGGATAAGTTTTGTATGCGCGCATAATAACCGTAGCTACCTTTTTGTGGGGGTCTGTTATTTTCACTAGAGAATGGACTGTGTGGTTTTTCCTTCTGCGTATTACCAAAGTGCGACTGTCCCAAAGCTACCGAATGCTGCGAAGTCAAGAAGGAAGGATTTGGTACTTGATTGTATGGCGGACTGCCCGAAGGCAATAAACCGTAACTGCCGCCATCAATTTGATTTGGCGGCAGTGGCAGCTGCGACTGCCCAACAACATTCGGTTTGGGTCGTATATTGAAACTAAATGTGCTGTCTGCGCCATTTGATTGTGCCACACCAACTATGGTACCGAAATTACCGGCGCTTATAGCACTACTTGTGGCCTGTACAACGCCGTTACTCGCCACGCCGCCTACCTGACTAAGGCTAGCTGCCGCTGGCGCTGCGGGAAATGCAGAGAGCGCGTTTTGGCTTGTTGGTCTTGGTATGTAATGAGATATGGAGGCAGTGTCTGGGTTCTGCACAATTTGATTAATCTCATGCACGTTCGAGACGCTTTGGCCATAAGATGCAGGCTCCTTTTGTACAGACGAACTATGCGGGCTCTGTTGGGGTGGCTTATTGAAATTGCCAAAACCGCTCGTGGCGAAGGTTATAATATTCTGAAAGAGTCCAGGTGTACGTGTTGTACTCGTGTAACGATCTTCATGTTCGTCTATGTAAATTACAGTCGGTGGTTTTGTGCGCCGCGTTTGTACTAAATTCGGCGATACAGTCGGTGTATTTGCGTAATAACCGTGTTGAGGCGGTACTGTGCTCGAGTAGTATGTGCCCACATAGCTGGGTGAGTATCTGTCATAGTGGAATGGTTTGTATGCGCTGGTCGAAGCTGTTATTGGTAGTGCCGAGGCGGCTTGTTTGTTTGTTTGTCGTATATTTATTTCTATTTCATATTGGTCGGCATTGGGTCCGTTTACCACGACCTTCTGTGGTCGCGTATAAAACGTCGGTTGTGTTTGGTATTGTCTGAGTTCCACTTGTCGGGGGGTGGAACGTGTTGTTAGGTTTGTAAGTGGCGTGGCTGCGGTCAGTTTCTTAAAGCCCACACTTTTAGTGGGTTTTGTCTGAAATCTATTTTTTAATTCATTATTTTGAGATGGTACTTTGACGACAATTAATTTGCGATTGTTATCGGGTCTACGTCGTTTAAAACGTGTCTCTTCTTCTTTGCTTAGCAGTTTTTCTATTGGATTAAGGTCAGCGGTTTGGTTGTCGGTACGCTCAACTTTCTTGTCCAGTTCGGGCGTTAAATGTGCTGCGTTAGTCGATTTGAGAAAGATGTCGTCTGTCGTGATATTGTTTTCATGGTTGTCATTTAACAGCGGCTGTATCGCAAGCGACTCGGACTGTGCTAAGTCAGTTTGTATGTTAGTTTTTGTTTCATTTTTGTCGTCTTTGGAGAACCCACCAGTTTCTGTCTCAGTTCTGTTGCTCGTCGTGGCTTCACCACTCTCTGTTCCTTCCCTGTTCGCTTCTGTTTTGGGCACTAGGTCCTTTTCAGTCTCAGTTGTCAAATTAGTTTCAGTAGTAACGTATTGGATGTCAGGACTAATTAAATAGTCAGCGTGTTCGTCGTCGCTTTCAGTAGTCGTCGGTTTACCACTTGTTCCTATAAAGTCGTCGTCATATTTGTCTTCGTTGTCTTTGGATGTAGAGATTACTTTAAATTTATCGTCCGTACTTTTGGATGTTGGTGTTTGCTCGTTGTAAGCTTTTTCGTCTTGTTCAAGCTTTGATTGTCGTATTTTGTCAGAGGATGGGTTCTTTTCTTTGGTAGAGCTGCTTTGGTCTGAAGTTCGTTGTGGTCCAAATGTACTTTCATTTTCGCTTAGATCAGTCAACGTGGTTAGGTTTAGGCGGTTTTCGCTATGAGTTTTATTGAGTCTACGTTGTTTGTTCACTTGCTCGTCAGTGTTTGGCGGTCCGTTAAGTAGTGTTTGCTCGTCTTCTGGTGTATCGTCTATTCGTGCCTCCACTTTTTCTGCACTCGAGTTTTCAGCTGTGTTCACTTCGTTTATTGCATTCGGCACCACTGTCTTTGTATGCGTCTTAAGTGTATTCTCGTCCTCTGTTGCGCTTCGCAGTTCTAATGGTATGTTATTCACCACTACTGTCGTGTGTCGTGTGCCTTGTTGTTGTCGTCGTATTGTAACTCCCCGTACATTGAGCGTAATCTTTGTTGGGCTCTTATCGATCTTATTATTAATACCCTTAATCGGTTTGGCCGTCACAGTTGGTCTCTTCGCAGGCGTCACTTTTTGTCTTATGTCCAATTTGTCGCTAATATGTATTATTTCACCCGGTACCTTAACTCCCGTTACAAAACCGTTAGCCGGTTGCTTTTGATCTGTCGGTGGTCGTTGGCGATTCGGAAAGCCTGCCTTATTCTCTTTCACTACTTGTACCGAGCCGGTGGGCAGTGTATCCCCAATTTTGTTTGTCGTTATAATATCAAATACATGTTCGGGTTCCTGCGCTTGCGTCGTCGGACTGTTTGCGAAGGGGTCTTGTTCGATCCATGGACTGAGATCGAGTGGCGCCAAGGTGCCGGTACCACAGATTTGACGTTCGTTGCCCTCAACATCTGTTGGCAATAAAACATGTGGCTGCAATGTGCCGCCACCAACTGCACGACATAGAACTTGCGCTAGCGAAACACGTCTTATCGATTGCAGTTGCGCGGGCGTGAAAGAGTTTTCAAAGTCACCGTTCTCATACCAAAAACGATCACCTTTGCGCGAATTACTGAACTGCTGTGCGATTATACAGGCAAATGTCGGACCGACAAGGCCACCTACCACCGGTCGCTCGGCAATACCGCCAACGAAAAGATCAATGTCGTGAACGCTACGGTAAGCATGGCTGATGCGCTGCGCCGATTGTGGACCGACGACATTGGCAAAGTCATCCCAGCTGTTAACGGACGTAAGACCGCAAGGCACACGCCAGGAGGTGTATGGTGGCACGCCGTGATCGCGACCACGTTGTATATTTATGGCCGCTAAATCCAAACCAAATGGAAAGCCTTCAAAGTGAAGAGTCAATGAATTTACGGTGTTAAGCAGAGGATAAGGGTGTTCAAATTACCTGGCGTTTGAAAGAGATGATTGGTTAGCTCGGGTGTTATGAACTCATCACGCTTAAGCGCGCGTTGATTTACCAAGCCACGCAAGAGGCGATGCAACGAGCCTGGTGAGCCGATGTCGCCGCGTTGGAATTCTTCATGCAGACTGACATCTGTAAGCAGATACAAATTTTATATCTTGCACACAACAATGTTGAAACCTCGCATTACTCACTGTTACGCATGAAATTGTGAAAACGATCACAACGCATATAGGAATTCTGCACCAGCGAATGACCGAAACGAAAAGCGGCCGCCGCAAAGGAGTTTGCCACAGTCGGATTTGTCTTCGGATCATAACCGTTATAGAAACCGGTGCTCAGAAGTTCCAAATCAAACAGTTTACACACCTCGCGCCCCAACACAATCGGCAGGAATTCCCTATAGGTAATATGCTGGAACATAGCGCCGACTATGCGACGGGTCTCCTGATAGATCTTCTCATCACTCCAGTGCAAATTCATATCGCTTAATTCCAATGCTATGCGATTATGCTCGCCCACCCAAACATGATGCAGAGCTAATAAGCCCGGCTGTTCACCGCTACGTCCATCACCAGCTCGTATGCATTGCGTTGCTATAGCGCCGCGTTGGCACACATCCTCTGCAGGATTGCCACGGCCGTAAATTAGTAAGCCGTTACGAAAGACACGCGCATTATCCGAGGACTTGACGCTATTCGAATAGATGGGTGAGGCGTCTATGTACGAGGTGGCCTGATTAGTCTGTTCGCGCCAAGAAAGTATGCAATCCCTCCGCTGGGCAGGCGCAGAGCGTAGAAACTCCAAACAACGCACTTTCAATGGCGCCAACCACGGATCGTCTAGTGGAACTTTGATGGGAAAGCAAGATGGATGAAAATCTGTGTTGCCACAACAGCTTGGCACCGAGCCGTTGATTGATCTGTGGGGATGAGAATTTTTGTATTGAAAGCTACGCCTTTCGCAAAAATGATTACTCACCTGGGTTGCGCAGTCGACGTCATATCGTGATCCAGTAATTGTCCCCATTGTGCGGTCATCAGCGTTACGGCCGCCTCGCCATCGCGTGCGCCATGCACCAAGAGACTGACGAAACGTGAGGACGCTAACGGTCCACCCTCCATGGACAAACGTATCGAATCGACGCCATCCCCATATTCCGGTGGTAGAAAGCGGTTAAAAGGCATTTGTGCGGCACCCCAACGTGGACGCCGTCTGCTATTGCAAGTGCCATCATGTGTGCGATAGCGCGCCGATGCTGGCATACAAGTGGGCGGATCGCGCGGTGGACAAAGTCCTTCCAACGCCGTATGACGCAGTGAAATCTTCGAGGTGTGCGCCTGCCGTGCCAACTCATTGAAGTATTTGTAGCTGCAACAAATAAGCGAAACTTATGAATGTGAATGTTTGTTGCAATTTCCGAAAACTCAAATTCAATTTAATTGCAATGTGCGAATGCGTCTTTGCGAACTTTTTACGCTTTGAGCTACTCATCATTTCTTGACGCATCGCATTGAGTGTGCCACTTGAAATGAATGCAAGCTCTGTGGTTTGTCTGTATTTAAGCGCCCAGCTTGAGTTTGGCGTATACTCGTAGTCAATAGTTGACGTCGTCGTCGTCGTCGTCGTCGTAGTCGTCGTTGTTAATCAGTTGAACCGTTAGTAATAGTAAAAGCAACAATAAGAGTTGCAATGGGGTGTTAATACCGAGAAAGTCACTGACGCCGACGCCGACGCCGACGCCGACACCGACGTTTGTCCAAGTGCGCGTACAACACGAGCTGCAAACAAGTTCGCGCACTCATCATCGGCCCTCACCACATATTCAGCGGTTCACCTCATGTGCCACGCCGCCGTGGACGGCTTACAAGTACCGTTGCATGCCAATCGGACGACAATTGCCTACACCAAAAAATGTTTTGCCACAAAAGTTGTCTGACTGTATGTCGCGCAGCTGCAGAGTCGCGGGAAAAAGTGCCATTAAAATCGCAACTCTTACAGTTGGAGTCGAAATCGTCGATGCTAATGTATGTAGATATGTACAATAGGTTTGTATGTATGTGTGTATGTATAAATACATTTATTTATGTCTATTATTTATGCTCGTCTCCGTCTTTATTTTATTATCTTTTGTTGGTTTGTCTATTTTAATGATCTTTTTGGAAAAAGAAATGGAGAAAGTGGAAAAAGGCTTTTCATTTGCAGCGCTCCATACATACATACATACAAACCAATGTACATACAAATTATTGCTTAGCTGCAATAATAAAAATAACAGAAAATAAAAGTAGAAAAACTCTTTCAGCGAGTTCATCGCAGTGTCGCACCGACGTTGCAAGTTGCAGCGTCACGACACGAGCCGGTTTGCCCACCAAAACACCGAAATACCAAAAAACCAAAAACGCAATAAAATGTAAATAAACATGATTTAAAATACATTTGTACATATGTACATATATATTTATGAACGGCTGTACATTAACGAGTTTGCATTTATGTATGTATGTATATGTAATTATGTATTTATTACAACGAGGTAAAACGGTTGTCTCCAATGCACACCTACTGACAATTGTATGTAAATACATACATAAGTACAGATATACAGATATAAGTGCTTGCCGTAGCGGTATTGCATTTGCCCTTTAACATTTCAATACCAGCAAATGACAGGTTCACACGGAATTTTTGAGTTCAATACACTGCAAAGTGTTGTCATTATTTCATTTATTTTTTTCTCTTTTTTTTTATATTTAATTTTTATTTTTGGATAAAAACATACGTTTTTCAGTTTTAGAAACTCATCAAAGTTGTGTATTCAGCGTGCATTTTTCAAAATAAAAATACCCTTATTTTTCCAACTGCTTTTTGAACTTGAATGGGATGAAAAAAGCGTCTCTATTTTTCTAATTCAACTTTCGGTACCTGGTCGAAAGCGAACCAAACCATAAAGAGTTTATTAATTTTAAAACTAATAAAAAATAATAAGTTTAGAACTAATAAATAAAGTGTGATCCATTTCGAGGTTCCCTCCTTTTTGAAAAAAAAACACAGAAAATTCAAATTCAGTGGGGAATTTTTATTATCATTCGAAGGAACATTCTTTGGTATTTACTTCTTGAAGATTATTTCTTTCAAATGTTTGCCGCGGTTACGTCTCGGATGGTCCATCCTTTGAGTCCAACTTTCGCTGACTCCTTAGAGCATTTCGACTGGTAACTGGCGAATAACACGCGTGATGTTTTGCTCCAAGGCCTGAATCGAATCGGAACTTTACATATCCCCACAGAAAAAAGTTTAACGGTGCAATATCTTAGTGGCCCATCGACCGGCCCATAACGTGAAATTATCTGCTCACCGAATTGTTCTCTCAATAAATCCTTTGATTGATGCGATGTGTTGGAAGTTGTCGTGTTACAAAAAAATATCGCCGAGCTTACGAGCTTCAATTTCAGACATCAAATAGTCGGTTATCAAGGCGCGGTAAGGGTCGCCATTGAAGATTACGTTATTACCGTCATATTTTTGACGAAATATGGACGGATGATTCCAACGGCTTACAAATCACACCAAACCGTTGTTTTTTCTGGATGAAATGGTAGCTCTTAAAACTCTTCAGGTTAATGTTCGTCCCAAATGCGGCAATGTTGCTTATATGCATACCCGTTGAGTCAGAACTGGGCCTCATCGCTTAATAAAATTGGGCTCGAAAAAGTCGGATCTGCTTGGTACTTTTCAAGAGCCCATAAACCGAAGCGATATCGCTTGGAAAGGTCGAGCGGCTTCTGTTCTTGCACAAGATGTATTTTGTACGCTTTCAATTAAAGATCTCGACGTAAAATGCGCCAAGTCGTTCCATACGCCTGCCCGAGTTGCTGTGAACGGCATCGAATCGAATCTATATTACCTTCATGTACACTCCAAGCCGCGGGCGCTATATTTTCTACCCTGCGTACTGGACGTGGTCTATTCAGTCGAGTATTAACCAATAATGAATGCTGGGTCTTAAGATGAGTTGTTGTTGTTAAGTTGAGCGAAGAGAACGAACCTGAATTTTCGTAATCAATTTGAAGGATTTTTAAACGTTGTTCAGGTGTGAGTTTTTCCATGATGAAATGCCTACTGTACTGAACAAAAATAGCATGACAACATGACACGAAACACGCGTGATCTGTCAAAAAATGGTTTTTGAAAAAAGTACCTCCACTTGGATCACCAGTTAGATTTAGGTTTCTAATCTCGAAAAGTTACCGACCTCTCGACTTGAATTGTTTGTCAGATTGTTGTTATGGTTTCTTCAAAAAAAAAAAAAAAACATTTTATCGTTCGATTTACTTGAAAAATTATTAACCCGTGTTTGTTTTATACAAATTTCGGTCTTAATTTTACACATACATGACAGTTCCATGTTTGGCAACTATGGTGTTCTGAATCCAAGAGGAAGAAGAAGGGGTCTTCGTAAAAGCCATGCATGGTGCAGATAGATTCCCACTGCTTCTATTATCAAATGACAATGGACGATGAAGCACTACTGCAGGCGCATTACTGGTAGTGGTTAGAAGCCTTATGTGATTCAGTGATTGATGTTTTAAGACTTTCCTTGAAGATTCCTACACATCTTTTTGCACCGTTGTTTGTATAAAGCTCCTGAAAGGTAGAGGCAATGAGTTGCAGTCCATTGACAAAAGGATAAACGATGAGTCGGCATTAAGAGAAAGAACCTCTGTGAAGGCAAACACCATAGACCATGATCGATCCACCCTTTACGTGATGCATGCAGATTACTCTTACTAGATCATGTCAACCGTATGGAAGGAATGTCCGGTGCATTACACGCAGAATAACACCCCTCAAGGTAATAATATTAAGCAACCAAACAACAAAAAGAATATTAATTTGGGAGCTTTTGTTTATTTGGCTATAATCTTGTAAATGCGTAAGAAGAAGAAGAAAATCCAGATAACCATTCCAGAGTTGACTTCATATAGCTTGGACATTATGACAGTATGAGAGCAAAACTTTCCACTATACACGCCCTATCATTTGTTCAATGTTTGTTGAGCTTTCGTAGTAAATAGAAAAAGTACAAAAGGGCAACACAGGGGATCAGAGGATTCTTAACCTTTAACTTATTCTCAGATATTTTCAAATTGAAGCGAAATGTGATATGTTAGCCGAAAACTAAAATTAATGAAGGGAAATGTCTCATCTATCGTTAAATTCTGGGGAAATTCATCACATGTACACATGGATGGTTATGGATAGGTTTAAAGAACGGATCAAACTCCAGTAAGACCTTGAATTTATGGTGGCCACACTTCTCCAGTCTGGTGAAGGGCAGTGAAAATGGTTCCCAATTCGGATTGCCCAATTGACAAAGGCAGCGTGGGCTAATGGATTGGCGACCGAGCTCTTCAAATACGATAGCGAAAAATTGGCAAGCTGTAGGCATCTTGTTCTTGCCAAATATGATCCGATGAAAGCATATCCGGTGATTAGAAAATAAATCCAAAAATCAGCGGCAGCTACCGTGGAATAAGCATTCTCAATATCCTATATAAGTTCCTATTGAGCGTATTGAGGGAAAGACTAAAGCCAACCACCACCACACTGATTGGACCTTATTAGTGTGGCTTTAGACCTGGTAAGTTAAACATTGACCAGATATTCAGCATACGCCAAATCTTGGAAAAGTCCCGTGAAAAGAGTATCGGCACCCACCACCTCTTGGTCGATTTTAAAGACTATGTCTGAATTTGGTATCCCCGAAAAAAGTGTAAAGTGACGTTAAGCAAAAAAAAAAAAGCTCCACCAAGCTCAGAAGAGACCTCTCCAAGCCGTTCGATACCAAACGAGGTTTAAAACAAGGCGACTTCTTTATCTTATCGCTGGCGAAAGTAATACGAGCTGCAGAGCAGAATAGGGAAGGATACTCCTATAAGAGCGTCCAGCTGTTAGCTAGCGTCAATAACCGCGCCATGAGTTCTGCTTTCTTAGGCTGGATAAGGAAGCGAAATGTAAGGGTCTAGTAGTGCACAAGAGCAAGAAAATATATCTTCTGTCATCAAATAAATAGTCATCGCATTGCGCGACTTGGTTTCCACGTTACTGTTGAAAGTCATCATTTGGAAGTCGTAGATAATTACCTCTATCTTGAAGCTAGTATTAACACCAACAACAATATCAGCCCTAAAACCCAACGCAGATATACATTGAGTAGATAATTGAAAAGTAAAGTTCTCTCTTTCTCTCTCTGTCTCTCTCTCAACATAGGAAGACCAAACTGTATAAGTCTCTCATCAATCCCGTCCTGCTATGTATAAAGTGCGAAAGTATGGACGATGACAACATCTAATGAGTCGGAGTTAGGAGTTTTCGAGAGAAGGGTTTTGCGTAAGATTTATGGTACGCTGCACGTTGAGAGCGACGAATACTGCAGCCGATAGAACGATGTGCTGTATGAGACATACGGCGACAATTACATAGTTAATCGGCTACGTTGGCTAGGTCATCTGGTCCGAATGGATGAAAGCACTCCAGCTTTCCAGGTTTTCGATGCAGTATTTGAAGGAGGAAGCCAAAAAAGAGTAGGGCCTCCACTCAGTGGAAAAGACCAGACGGAGAAGGACCTGGCTGTACTTGGTACTTGCTAATGGCTGTTTACCCGGCTATAATCGCGTAAAAGATGTCGACGCCAGTAAAGATCAAGAAGTAAGTACTCAAGGATAGAACCAGGAATCGAGCCGATTCAAAACTATTTTCTGCAGGTTTGAAATTGTTACCAGAATAATTTGACGTGCCTTTGTTTGCTACATTCTCTTTCAGCTGAAACTAGCCTAAGAGAAGAGCAAAGAGACTTGCCATCCTATTGAAAATCCCTCTCTCAACTTTCATAGCATTTTGGGTGAGCATTGCACTTTAATATTATACCTCTTTAAAGATAGCAAAAACAAATTAAATTTCTTCGAAATTTTATAGCTCAAAAATCTGTTAAAAGAAAGGTGAAGAAAACAATTAAAACGTAAGCATAATAATAATTGGTGTTGACTGCAACTTCGGCGGGGAGCTTATTGAAGTGACGAACTTTCAAATAAACAAAACAACTCAAATGACAACTGCCACCTTTACGTAAGTAACTTAATTAAAGATAAACATGTATTGTTAGTGCATTGCCATGGTTAGATTGAAAAAGAAATAAATTATAAATAAGTTTTAGAAAATTTAGCGAAAATCAAATAAAAATAGAAAAAATACTTTTCACTCAAACTGCATATGTGGACACATACATACATGTATGTACGTATGTATTTATCTTCTCAGTATGCCAAACAACAAAGCTTTTAAAGCAGCTTGCTATTTATGTGAAAGTAAAAGTAAGCCGAGTTTGACGAGCATACAGAAGCGATACGAATTGAATTTGCTTTACATAAAATACAAGCACACACACACACACACACACACACACACACACACATACGCACTTTCTTATTAGCTTTTACGCCTAATATAGTAAATTAAATATGTTACACCACAAACAAAAATATATACATATTTTTAGGTTTTTAGGCGTTGAATGAATTAATTGCTATTGACTTTTTTGTGGGTTATTTTTAAATTTTCGATTTGGTGGTGTGAGCTTTTTCTTCAAAACTTCACATTTTAATAGTTATTTTAATACATAGTGTACATATATGCACATGGGTGTGTGTGTGTGTATGTACAAACATATAAACTAATTCTCCATGAAATCGTAAATTTTTATGCGCAATCAAAGTGTCTTGGCTTGGCGGCTTCACTTTACCATGGTGCGTCGCGTCGCTCCGAGCTTAAAAGCGAAACAGATTTTTTTGTAATGTCAATGAACTTTAGCCGCTTGTGTCACAAACCTGCTACTACTGCATATGGGCTTATATGTATATGCCGGAATGTAGATATATTCATACATATATATGTACGTAAATGTATAAAATTTAACCAATGGCCAACTGTTGCATCGCCATTAGCCAAAGCGTACGGTTATCCGTTCAAAAGAGTAAACCCAACGAACATTGGAAAAAAGATAAATTTTCAAAACTTAAATATAAATACATATCTATGTATTCGGCGAACACATTTACGAAATGGTTAGCACTCCCTACCACCATGCCAACCGCTCTGATTGCTGATCCAAAATTATATACTATTATTAAGAAATTGAATTTTCGAACTACGGTCGACAGGGGTTCTAACTTGCAATAAAAGCTCCCCGTCTGCAAGCGGCTTAGAATAAAACTGAAGGTTCTTCCATTTGCTGGAAGAACATCAAGATGTACATTTTAAATTGGAGGCGAAGCGGGTCCGAAAATCGCTTCAGCGGTTAGAAAAACGCCAATTAATAACGTGCTTTTATAAAGCTTTTAAGTTTGGATATAACATAAAATTCCAACTACTGTTATTTAAACTTAATAAACTCGGTAAATGTTGCACTTTTCAAAATATCTAAACTGTCATTATTCATTTAAGCTTTAAGCTTCCAACGCCTTGTATTGCTTTAGATTTGATCACGAGCCAACAACAAAAACAAATGTAGTTAGAATTGAGAATGGGTTGAGTAAAATTGCACATTCAAAAGTTCCGGATCTTTACATACAAGACTTAGTCAGCCAGGTGCCGCAACCTTTGACCTTACCAATGGAGCGCAGGTTTTTCTGTTTCTTTACCACCACCAGTGGGTACAGCATCGAATACTTTCCATCCGAATGATAAAACCTTGTCAGCTTATGAATCTGCACCATATAGCAGTATGAGAATGATGAGAGGTTTTTAGAGTTTGGTCTTACTTCGCTCAAATTGTCTACTCAGCACAAATCAATGTTGCCAGATAGTGATATTTAGCGCCGATTTGGCTACGCTTCTTGCCGGGCGGGGATAAAATTCAACACATCAACTATCCCACCGCCGTGATAGGGTTACTTAGGGTCTACATGAGCGCTGAGGGCTGGCCACTTTCTTAGAAAAATCTGGCAGCGCTAGTCCAAAGGAGCAGTTGTTGACATTAGTGATTCTGCGTTGGAAAGGCTGTGAGCAACCCTTACGCAAGATGCATTTAAACGGTTTGTTTCGGCCAAAAGATAAGCAGCTTCAGTGGAGCCCCTTCGATGTATTCGGTTTAAAAGTTCTGCTTACCTGAGGAGCTGCTGCAAGCGGCTTGCTATATAAACGTGCTCAAAAGCGTGCTTGTATAAACGAGGTTTGAGACGCTTCGCTACGTAGAAACTATGAAAAACTCCATACGGCAACGGCAAACCAATAAAAGTTTGTTGGGTGTGCTTATACATACATATATACATACATACATACACACATATAAATATGTAATTGCTTTCTGTCCACTTTTAGTGATAGTGATAGTGATAGTTTAGAGTTTTTATTTTGAGTTTTTTTGTTTTGTTTCTTTTTTTTGTTTCGTTTTTTTTTTTTTTGTTTGTTTATTTCTCATTTTTTGTGAATGCTCACTGATTTCACTTTGCTGCCATTGGCTTTTGTAATAGCTCCAACTGTAGTGTGTAGCTAATGAAATCGAAAGCATCCGTTACATACATACATACATGCATATCATCTAGATTTGAGTATATCAACAAAAAAAAAAATGCAGCGTTAGAAAATAACAAATGAATGTTTTATGAATTTTTATATATTTTTCTATATGCATACAAATATGCATTTCCAGCGAGTTTTTTTTTATATTTTTTTATTGTAATCACTTTTGAGCTTTTTTCTTGCGCGCTAATGAGTTGCGTGTGTGCCTTAAATGTGAACGCATCCGCATGTTTTTAATTAAATGTCCATTAGTTACTTTGGTGGCCATACGATTCTGCAAAATTTCGCAAGCTTTTTTTTACTAATTTTACTCAACAATAATTTCTTATTTAATTCTTGGAAAAAACTATTATTTTCTCTGTTTTTTCTTCATTTGGTGTCCTCTTGTTATTGTTTGCAATTTTTGTGTTTTTTTTTTTTGTTTTTTCCTTTGCTATCATATGCTTTAATGGCGTCTTTCATTTGCAACCTATGCGAATTGTTCACACTTACCATTTGCTTGCATACATATGTATGTACATACATTCAACTACTAACTAGTGCCGCGTTACTCGTTGTTTAAATTGTAATTTAAATAGCGAGTAGTGAAAAAGTACAAGTCATCCATTTGTTTTTCTTTTCACATATTCGCGCGTTTTGTAAATATTTTGTTGGAATTTCTGTACTTGCTTTCGCTAATTGTTGCCTTTTTGCAGTGCGGAAAACACATAAATTGGCTGTGGGTGTTTAATAAATCGTAATTATGTCGATAGAAATAAGTTTTAATGATAACACACATATTTATATACACAACCTTAAGCTTTTCATTGAGAATCGGTAGTCGCTTAAGTGCTTATAACCACATGAGTTGGTTCCATGTTCATAAAGCTGCCGTCAAAAGCAACAATTTTCACACATTTTTTATTTACTTAATTATTTTAATTATTTTAATTATGTTATTATTATTTTTTTAACTTAAACATTATTTTTTCAACCATTCAGAATTAAAAATAAAAGTTTTTTGTCCGTGTCCGAAATTGATTTCGATGAAATTCCTCTTTCACCGAGAGCGCTGCCGTAAAACTTTTTTTGAAATTGGCCTTAAGCATAACTGATGTAATTTATAATAGTTTTAATTGACATTTTTTATATTTTGATTTCAGTATTAAAGAAAAAAGAAACAAATATCAGCCAAAATCACTTTGTTGTTTAAAAAAAAAATCTCCAATACGATCTATACACTTTTGTATGTGCTTGAACCAAGTATCGAAGCAGTTTTGCTACTCTGATTGAGGTATCTTCAAAATATGAGCTCTGAACGCATCATCGCAGATGTCGAAAAACGTTGACAGTTTATTTTTTAAAGAAATTAGACAACCATTTGCTTGGGGGCGCTTTGTGGGCGCGCAACTTTTTTGGATTCAACAATGAAGCGTGTGAATTCGCCGTTTCCAATGCGCAAAGAACCATTTTCTTCCGAAGACTCCCAAAGCCGCCTCATCTGATAGTAGGACGGGCATAAAGGGCGACTTGCCGAGTTTGGTTCTTGTTCATCGACAGAGGACTTTACTTTTCAATTGCCTACTCAATCCAAAGTACCACCTCTTGGAAAAAGTTAATCTGCGTTGGATTTCCCTGGTGACATTTTTGTTGGTGTTAATGCTGGTCCCAAGATGGAATTGTTGTTTGATGAGAGGAGATATTTCGTGTTGCCCTCGTTCACTGCCAGACCCGTTCAATTCGCCCCCTTTTCAAGTTTGGGGAAAGCAAAACTAATTCTGACTGCGCTTCTGGTGTTGCCCAACGCCAGTTTACACAGCCGTATAAGTTTTGCGGGGATACCAAACTCAGGCATAGCGGCGCAAAGGCAGCTCCTTACTGAGCATCAAATTAATGAAATCAAGCGGTGAGGAGTCACCTTGCCGGTTTGTATCAAACGGCTCGGAGAGATCTTTCCCAGTTCTAACAGCGATTCTGATGTTGTTCAGCAACAGCTTGCAAAGTCGTACAAGTTTTGCGAGCATACCAATTTCAGATCGTGCAACGTAGAGGCGGCTCCTTTTCGCATTGTAGAAATCGACCGAATGGGGTGTCGGTATCTATCCTCTTTCGTGGGTATTTCCAAAATTTTACACGGTGAATATCTGGTCCATGGTGGATTTATCAGATCTAAAGCCACACCGGCAAGATCTAATCAGTTTGCTTACGGTGGGCTTTAGACTTGCACATAATACACTTGAGAAGACCTTATATGCGATTTTAAGAAGGCTTATCCCACGGTAATTAGCGCAGACTGTGGGATCGCTCTTTTTTGGATTGGCCAGAACATCTTTAGGCTCCAATCGTCGGGCATGACCATCATCATCCGACCATATTTTACAAAGAAGGTGGTGCATGCACCTTGTAAGCTCTTCACCATGGGCTGGGATCATGTGTAGAAGTACACGCAAGTGAGGAAAATTTTGGACTGCCACTCATTTGAGAGTGGTCAGAAACGATTCTTTTGTATATAGTTCAAGAAGCTCACGACTTCCGGTCTTGGATCAAGCATCTCCTAGGTAGCCAAAAAACATCCGTTTGTACGCGAGCTAAAGTGAGAAGTCGAATTCATCTACTCCTTCCTCACAGGGAAGAATGGACGGAAGGCAAAGTGTGATAAGTGAAAGTGAAGATATCTATATATATTTGATAAGTCTAAATCTGTGGTAGTTACAGGGGCAAGGTTCTTCAGTGACCGCTCGAATAACCAAGGTAGCTTCAAACTGAGTGACTAGGATTCGGTATTTCATACAAATATTTGAAGGTGCGAATATATATGTAATTGGCGCTTTGTAACCGCTGAAGAGATTTTCGGCCGAGTTCCTCCTCCAATTTGTGGTTATCTGTCTCTTGATATTTTTCCAAAAAATTGAGGAACCTACATTTTATATCCACTAAGTCGCATCTAAACAGTAATACACTCGGTGAGCTTGACATTCCCTACCGAGGGATGACCGCAATTAGAAAATTTTACTTAATTTTAGTATTTAAATTAATTTTCCATATAAATTTTTGGATATTGGTCGTACCAGGACTCTGACCTTCTTTAATGGTAGTACGGAATGCTAACCACTCGGCTATCGTGGCCGCCAAGTTCGAATGGGCAACCATTGTAATAGTCGCATAACGCATTATCCCAATGTGTGAGAACTTGTAAAGAAGTCATTCACAGACTAGCGCAGAAAAACACAGTCGCCGGACGAGACGTCCTATTTGTCACGTTTTGCCCCGTTTCAGCCTTATATAGGTGGACAAGCGTGTTTGGAAGAAATTAGAAAGATTCGTAAACTCGGGCGAACTACACGCAAACGCTTAGTTGGGAAACGTCGTAGAGTACAATGAGCCGACTCAAAAACTCAGATGCGGCCGCTCGCGTTTAGTTTCTCAATCAACCAACTGAATGACGATTGTAGATTGTGAAAAGTCCAACAACGGAAATATTGCTTTAGATCGAATTAAAACTCATCGCGTCCAGCATTAGCGAGCTGGAAATAGTTCTTTTTTCATATATACATATATACAGTTCTGCCACGCTTTCCTTCGTTACGGTACATGTATATATGTATGTATGTAAAATAAGATATACAAATTTAATGATTATTGCAAGCTACAAACACGCCAAGATCTCTGCTAATACCCACCAGCTGTATAAGCGTCGGCTTGCAGAAGGAGCAGCGAACAGTTGAACATCTAAGAAAACGGCAATGCAAAATCCCAGCAAAACTTCAGAAAATCTGCGAACGTCAGCCAGCTAGCAATCCAACTATTAATTCGATGAAGTATTTTAAGTGAATTTTCACCTGAATTTCCGTTGCTTGGCCACTGAACTGGTAACCGCGTCGTAGCAGTCACTGACTTTGAACGCACGAGTATGTGTACGTACGTATATGCATGTAAGACGAACCAACCACCAACTGGTAAGGATAAAATGGCCCAGCCAGCGCTTTGTAACCACAGTTGCGCTTTTCAGCGTGTCATTTCATTTGCGGCATTTTCTGTAGAAAGCCAAAAAAATAGGAAAGAAAAAAACATGCGGATGCGGCTGCCACAAGCGGTCGTTTAACTCTTAAGCGCGCTGCGAGGTATTTGCAGAGTCACACGTCACATTGATGAACGCCAGCTACGTATGTATGTATGTATGTTTGTTTGTGGTTAATCGTTGAAAATTCAATGTCAAAGTGAAAGTTTACTCTTTTAAGCGAATTTGTATAAATGTAAAACGGTGTGTGCGCTTGTGAGCCAACAAAAAAAAATAATGTATAAAATGCGAGCTATCAAAATGATTGTAATAAAACCCAATTGACTTATGAAGATAAATACAAATGTATGTACAAAGTAATAAAAGACTACAAATAATGCTGCGGTTAAAATGTGCAAAGAAAAATTAAGAAAATGGAAAATTCAAAATGCAAATTGCAAAAGGAGCATCAAATTAAGTATTGCGGACATTAATGTCTGTTGGGCTGGAAACTGTGAACGCTTTTGAGATTAAACCGCTAAAAAGAAAATCACATAATTTTTGTATAATTTTTATCAAACCTGAACTAATAGCCAACTGCCAACCTCTTCTCCGTTATTTTATAGAATCTCTCTCAACAAAAGTTTTATGCCGCAACATTAAACGAATTGGAGTTCATTGTAAGGAGAATGTCGAATGTTCCTTAGAAGCAATTGTAGTGAATAATGCTTTTCTTCTAAACTGTGTTCCTCACATTGACACTATTAACTTTATATCGAGGGATGATCTTTTGTTTGGGGATGCTTGTTTTCTATTTTCAGCTGTTAGTGAATGTGATGTTGCAATGTGTATATTTAAAATCTCATCCAATACAATAAGGCATGATGGTTTACCAATTAAATTTATTAAAATTATACTACCTTGCACTGTACAACCTGTCGCTAAAACGAACAATCCTTGTAGTCCGTCTGATTTTCGACCAATAAGCATCCTCTCTATTGTGTCTAATGTTTTTAAGATGCTTTTGGCTAAGCAAATAAACGAATTTGTAGGCAAGCGCAACTTAATATATCCATTTCAAACAGTTTTCAGGAAAAAATCACAGCTGTTGTATTTCGGTATTAAAGATCATTGATGACATTCGATCCAACATGGATCAAAACTAAATTTCACCAGGTTTTGCTTACTTGACTTTTCAAAAGCGTTTGATATGGTCAACCATGAGTTATTAAGCTGTAAGTTGAAAAGCTACCTTGTTGACAGGTATCAGTTAGTAAAAATTGGGGACGACACATCGCAACTCAAGCCAGTTATAATACTTCAGGGGTAACTCAAGGCTCCATCCTTGGTACCCTGCTTTTCAGCATATTTATTATTGACATCTTTAGCAAGTTTTCAAACCTGCATGGTTATGCTGATGACATTCAGTTATATTTATCTCCACATTTTGATCAAGCTAAAAAGCTATGTAAAAGCAGGGCTAGAAAACTAACAAATATTTATAGACAATTATCCCTTAAAATTAGTCAGGATATATTATTAACTCTAATCTTGCATGTACGGATCATGTGAATTCCATTGTTAGTAAGGCCTATCTCATTCTGAGGAATCTTAGGCAGTCAGCTATCTGTACACACCGACTTGCTATACAAATTATTCTTCCGGTTGTCATGTACTCTGAAGTGGTAAAATTGATGTTAAGTTTAATAATGTCCCACGGTATGTGTTTGGTCTTTCCAAATATGAGCACATCTTGTCTTGGAAGGATCAGATATTGGGATGTACAATTGCGGACTATCATAAAACCAGAAATTGTATTTTTCTTTGCAGACTCATTATGACTCAATCTCCTAGCTATCCTATATTCCAGAATATTGTTTATTCGGTCCGTCAGAGTATATAATATTATAATACCTTGTCATAAATCACAGCAATCATCAAGCAACTTCAAGAGCCACATATATATGCATTTTAATGTCCGAATTCCAACATAGACTGGCCATTTAATTATTGTTTAAATTTTTGTCAGACTCAGTGCATTATATGTTATTATCATTTTTGTTAATGTATCTGTAAAGTAATATTTACTTATTCTTCACACTATCTCTTTTGTACTAAAAAAGATATGGAAATCTTATTGTACTAATGCTTTTTTACTATTATTAAATAAATAAAGGAATATAAATAAAATGCAGTGGCTCACTAGGGACCACAACAAACCTAGTCCATGCATGTCATTTTGGATCTACTCTCCAATGGCAGTATGAGGCTGTATAATGCTGCTTGTGCTGCGTTAAGACTACCAAATGTGTCTGAATGAAAATGATAAACCATGGGGCAAACTAATGTCTTGAGAAGGTTCCTCCCACCAGAAAAGGCGGACTACAGCATAACCTTCACTAACTTTATGACAGATTTCAAAGTAGTTTCCTTAAGGGATAAGCACTGGAATAGGAGATAGTACCAGCAAATACGGACTCGCATCATTTTTATATCATATATATCATTATTATATCAGTGGCGGTGTTAAGTCAAGGACGTTAATGGTGTTTGCGATTAACAAATCTTTTTCTCTAGCGGATCTTAGTAAAGCAGAACTGGCGGCTGTTCATGAGGCTATCAATTGTCTAATCTCAATAATACTACTAGGAAACTGTGCCAAAGCCAGGCTGCATTAAAAGCCCTGAACTCTCGCAAACTGTAGAGAAGGATCACAAATAACCTAAAGCAATTGTCTCTCTATGGGCATTTGGATACAGTATCAACCTAGAGTTTAAAGCTGCTTTCTACTTGCAAGCTCACTATAAGAGACTTATTCATCAGAGTTATTAAATTAAGATGGAAGATGATCGGGATAAAGTGGTCAACGTGGGATAAAAGAAGGTCACTAGAACTTAAAAGGAATTTAAAGGAAAGAATATATCTACAATTACAGATCTTGTTAGAGGCAATCTTACATTAAAAATGTACTGTGTATCATTAAATGCTTTCTTTTGGATGCTAAGATGCGTCAATTACTCTGCACATTCCACGCATTGGGTTGACTAGACGCCAACCTATTCTAATCTATAAAACGAAAACGATTAGGAAACTGAAGGACTACCTTCAGTCGTTTGGGGCGTCATATCCTCTATGATGCCTATAAAGAGGAGTAATCGGAAGAGAAAGAAAACACTGTTGTTCGTGATTTGGATATTCGGCGTAACGGAATGAGCGTTCTCAACGATTGAAGACTGAAACTCATTTTTAGCAAACCTATCATATAACTAGAGGTTAGATATCATCGATGTTATAAGGAAAGCAATTTTAAAACTTATTTTTAAGCTATCTACTTCGTGAATATCTTCGAAAATAATAAAGAAAATAATTTAAAAGATCTAACCACGATAAAACTCTACTCTTATTTTGTAGGTCTTCTCTGGACGAACAAAAACCAAACCCGACCTTCTATATGGTACGAAGTATGCGGGATGACAACATAAGATGAGTCGGCTTAGTTTAGTGACTACGAATACTCCAGCTTTGAAAATGAAGTACCCACCGGTGGAAGCAGAGGGAGAGGAAGACCCCTACCCTGGTACTAAGACCAGTTGGAGGAGGATCTGGCTGTACTTGATACTTCCAATTGCCACCAAACAGTAAATAGGAGAAATGCCTGTAACAGAGATAAAAGGCAGTTTGTTCTTCTATCGAAGAATGACTTGTTTTTCCTCGGTTTTATCGATGGAGGATAACAGGCTCAAAGACGGTATTATATACTGCTATTGGCAAGTTACAGGCTTAGAATGTCATTTTCCAATTTTTATATTTTTAACCATAAAATAAATTTTAATAAACGATCAGCACCCAACCTACAACTCATAGGGCTCAATAAAATGTATGTAATCTTCACACACTTTCCTCTTTCATCCCCCCTATAGAGATTTTCAGCTAGTGCGAGGATTGCATATTTCAGGGCATTTGAGTACACAGTTAAGATAGGATTGGTCATACTCGGCTTTTGGTCAAATACGTTCCTTGGATCAGATCGAGAAAAAATTTATGATACCTTATTTTAAACTTGACCCTCACAAGGATCCCTAGTTTTGAAAAGTTGTACTCACTTTTTACGGAATGCTTTCGTTGCTGATATCGTTGCATATGCGGCCATTTCCTGCTCCAAAGTCTCAGTTACAGATTCACTAAATTTAGATAGCAATGCGGCTGGATGATTGTCCTGTAGTACGTGTCCTAAAAGGAAAGTGGAAATAGATTACAACAGCAACTAAAACATATAAGAGCAGTGACACATTTAAACAGCAACAACACATGTATGTCTGCATGTATGTTTGTAAGTATGTGTCGCTAATTACATAAACGCATACCATTTCTTATTATGTCCGGCACAATTTTCCCATACAATTCCGTCATTGCATCGAGTCCCTCACGCGCCGAAGCCTGCAGAGCGACATCCATTAGCGTCGGTCGATTGGAGGAGTATGCGCGTTGCTGACGTTTTTCCGCTACCGTTGATGCTGACTTTGACGTTGCTACTTCGTTCATTGTATTAGCTGTCGTCGTCTGCTTCCTGTTAGCCAACGACAAGATGGGTTTTGGTAATTCTACGCTGAAGCCATTTTTGTCACATAAGCTGTTGTTATTGTTTGTGTAATTGTTAACCGCTGCTAATTTGAATGGACTTTCGTTGGCGTCTATTGTCGTTGGCACTTTTATTGTTGTTGTTGGTGTTGTTGTTGCATTAGTTGTCACATTCCCGATATGGCATAGCATTGTTAATCCGCCAATGAGGAAAATGTTAAAAATCTTCACTTGTCCACACTGCCATAGTGGGCTTCGATGTGTTGGGAAGCTCATCTGCGCGCCAAGAGTTGTAGTTGTATATGTTATGTGGATCCAACATATTTATACAGTTACATACACATATATGCATATGCAGTGTTTATACAGGTAGTTTGGTGCATGCAAAAGAGAAGAATGTAAAAATAATGTCATTCGCGGAAATACTGATGCATATATGTAGATTTGTATATTAGGAAATTCGCGAAGACTAGATTGCGACTAGACTAGAACCGACTGCGTCAGCATGAAATATCAAGGTGGATACTGGAATTTTAATTGAGTTTTTATATTTTCTGTTTAATTATAGAAGTTGTTTAAATCCAAATATCAGGCAAATCAAGCCATTAACACACGTTAATGTTGTTGTTGTAACCGCAAAAATAGCCCCCAAAGTACTTTTTGGGGAATGTTGCGTTAGTAACATTCCTTAGCCGGATAAAAATTCCTGTCGTTCCGGTGTAAAGACCCAACTGTTGCGGATACTATTTGGATTTAGTCGTCTCTTACGACAGGCATGCCTAACCGCTTGTAAATTCTTGAACTCCTATCCCGTAGTGGATAGGAACGGTTCCCGGTCTACTTCACGGGAGGAAAAGTATTGTCACTGTTAATTTAGACGCAACGTTACCTCTTTACCAAATTTCATGTAAAGCGAACGATTTCCAATTAACTTCGATATTTTCGAAAAAATCGGTCCCTGGTTACTCTTGCTTCTTCTTTACTGGCGTATACCCCAATTACGCAATAATTGCCGTATGAACAACATTGCGCCATTAATTCTTTTTTTTTTAAGTTGTTTGGCGCCAATTTGAAATACCAAGAATAGTCAGGTCCTTATTCACCTGGTCTTTCCAATGGAGTGTGGGTCTTCCTCTTCCTCTGCTTAGAACACTGGGTACTGCATCGAAAACTTTCATAGCTGGAGTGTTTTTATCCATCCGGACCACATGACTTAACCAGCGCAGCCGCCGTTTTTTTTGTTCGTTTAACTATGTCAATGCCGCCGCATAACTCGTACAGCTTATCGTTCCATCGTCTGCGGTATTCCCCGTTGCTAATTCGCAAAGAACAATAAATCTTATGCAAAACTCCTAACGCCAACTCATGAGGTGTTGTAATCGTCATGCCATTACACCATACAGCAATACGGACACGATGAGCGGCTTGTAAAGCTTGATTTTCGTTCGTCAAGATTACTTTTCAGTTGCCTACCCAGTTCAAAGTAACACCTGTTGGCAAGAGTTAGAGGAAATTATCTACGACTTCAAAAATGACTGTCAACAGTGACATGAAAGACTAGACGCGAATGTAATAACTGTTTATTTGATGATAGGAGATATTTCGTCTTGCCCTCGTTCACTGCCATAACCTTAATCTTTCACTGCCTCATTCAGTCTGGAGAAAGCCGAACTCACGGCGCGGTTGTTGAGGCAAATAAGGTCAACAACATATACATTGGCATACGCCAGCAGCTGTACACTCTTATAAAATATCTTTTCTATTAATTTATTTAACTGTCCGCTGGCTCCACCGCAGCTTACTCCCTTCTAGCCGTAATCCAAGGCTCTACACGGGTTGGTTACCGCATCTAAGGTATAGGTAAAAAGGACATGGGTCTGGTGGAATATTTGCAGTACGTCAAGTGAATTTTCCTTCGTTACGTTGCAGTATATATTTCCTTATCGAGGTAATTTTCGACCACTTTTTGGTACATATTGGGTGATATCTTAGAATGTTGGTTTCCAAGTGCTCAAGAGTTAGGCATTTATCCGCATGAACACGCTCTTGCGTTTAGCTTAGCAAAAATAAGTTCAAGAGTGTTAAATCGTACGATCTCAGCGGCCAATTGACATCGCCAAGAAGAGAGATCACGCGGGTGGAAAATTTCTCTCTCACAAAAACATCTTCGCTCGTATTGTATGGCATGTAGCATCTTCTTGATGAAACCTACAATATGTGGCACAAAAAAATCGGTTACTGAAAATAGTTCAGTTCGAAAAATCGCCGTCCGCTGTTTGTTGGATGTAGATATAATAAAGTCTGGGTGAATAATACAGCATAATGTGCGTCAGATAGTCCCGGCTCTTGGGAACGCCGAGAAATAGCCACTTTCACTTACAGCAGCGGTATTTGAGCCGGAACGAACAAAACGATGATGAGTAGGCCTTATAATATCTACAACATATATAAAAACCCAATCTCTTCGAAATTTTGTAAAATTTTATCAATTGCTTGAGCAGTTGGACGATTGCTATGGTGCACGAAACATGGCGAAGTTTGAATTTCAACGCATTTTGCGGTTGTTAAGCGATCCATTTCCATAAATGCCTTACTTTTAATTAAAACCAAATATGTTTCTAAAAAAAAAATAACTCTGTACTTTTGAAACCACAAAATGGATAACGCTGTACATTTTCACCTCATCGAAGTAAAGCAAGTTGTCACAAGTATTGGTTTGTAGCTCAGGGCTGAAGGAATAAAAAGATTAAAAAATGTGTAGAAAATCATAATAGATAATGATAGAATTCATACGATTGACGATGGTGAAACCAATAATTTTGTTATTATGTATGTTCTCTAATACCTAGTTATAATATTTGAAATATCATTCTTTTTTGCTTCCCTCCCCACCAAAAGCATTCAGTTTCAGTGAATCCCATCTATTGTATTGATAACGAATGCAGGCAAATCAATGGGAATTGACATATACACTTACATACATATATACGTATCCACATATATTACTTTTCGATTGGAATCGATTATTGCAGCAAATTAAGTAAAAAATGTCATAATGATGAACGTGGATGCACTTTTGCTCGTACAGATGAACATCAGAAGATACGTATATACCACACGTACGACTGCGCTCAGTAAACGTATTATAAATACTTTATATACATATATATATATATATATATATATATATATATATATATATATATATATATGCACATATGTACGTGTTTATTGAACAAATGTGAGCTTATTTAAATTTAATTACTTTCAGTACATCAATAAACTAAATTGGTTGGGAATTAGTTTAGAGTCTAATGAAATGTAAATGCACAATCGACCTACATACATACATACATATGTACATGTATAGTTCTGTACATACAAACAAAAGCGATATATGATGGGTGTTCTTTATAAGACATGTGATTTCAAAAAGAATTCATTTTATATTTTGACCAAGAATTTAGCTGTACTAAAGAGCCTAGAGTTTGCCCGGGATAATCAGATTTTTTTTTTTTGAAAAATAAAATAAAAATATGCTTCAAGTTTCAAGCAAGTCGAAACATAAATATTATTCTTTTAGATGTATCGGTCTCGAAAAAAAAAATCTCCATGCTTTGGCGTAGGTAGAGAATCGTCTATGCTTTACATATTAAGCAAAACTGGAACATCACATCGGTTTCAAGCCCACCTCCGGGGGGAAAGTGTTTCCGTCGTTAAATATGTATCTACATATGCAGGAAATGGAAATCTAACGATTTAAAATAAATTAGATTTTTTCTCGAATATATCGGCCTCAGTTACACTTCCCGGCAGAAAAAGGGTTCGCCATATAAATTTAGGCCCATAGCTACCAATAGATCGATGCCAAGCGCACGTCCCGGAAAGCCCTTTCTTATTGGGATGAAAAGTTTTTCACATATTTCTATTTGCGCATATCGAACCAAAAATATCACCTCTCCAGCTAAACCGGCTGATAAAAATACCTTCCCACCCAATAACATAGTCAAGTGAGCTATTCATGCTCCAGATATCAAGCAAATCGAACTATGAGTACGATTTTTCGAGCAGATCGAGCCCAGGTATACTTTTCGAAAGGAAATGCTATTAAATTGTTAACCTTGGTTGGGGCTCAACAAAGTTTGAAATATTAAAAAAAATTTACCAAAATTACGAGTTTTTAATCGATCGCTCCAATGTTTTTTCCACATTCTAATCTGGTCAAAGAGCCACCCACAAATATATTCCGCATGTGAAGGAAAGCCTTTCCATTAATCGAAAGAAAAAGGACTCGCTATAATTATTTTGGTCCATAGCTATCTATGTAGCAAAGTAATTGCAAGCCGAAACATTTGAAAATGAACTCGCTTTATTTCGAATAGATCGGTCCCAGATCCACTTCTTACAGCAATTGGAGCCGTTTGTCAGCTATAACACACCGAATACTCTCTTCCATATCAAAATTTGTCAATTCAGAAAAATGGATGGGCACAGCTCCACTTGTGGCGTGTTGATGAATAAACACATACGAGTCTTCTTCGATAATCTGCTCCACAGCAGCCATAGCGTTTTCGATGCCACTGTATGACGTCCTTGAGGGTGCGCATCATTCTTAAAGTAAAACCTCTCCATGAGTGCCCGAGGTTTCGACTCTGCTGGGCGATTATATCAACCAAAAAATAATAGATCTCGACTGCGTTGCGTTATACGAACCGAAAAATTTGGCATGATTTGCAAACCTTGTTCTGAAGTAAGTCTGTTGATTATGAAATGGCAAACCAAACTGGGCATAAATCAACTAACTTCGAAAAAAAACACCCTGTATTCGTTTATGGAGATTTATAGTACCTTTGCGATTATGATATTTGTTATGCAGCAAAAAAAAACGAAGAAATTGCATAACGCCATAACACAAATTAGCTCTATAAACTTGTAACGAAAATACACACATACTCGTTTGCACATATACACATATACACATATACATTGCATGCAATTTAGACAAACTTGCAATTGTAATAAAACAATAAACTACAACCACTGAGCTGAGACGTATTTGTGAAGAAGCGCAAAATATGAAAAAAGTTGTATAAAAAAAATATCTTAGTGAGTCAGTAAGTCAGCTGGCGTCCATTCGGAGCGTCAAACATGCATACCAGCGCCAGGGAAAAAGAGTTCGCTTTGTTGCTTGAGAAAAGCGCCTACAACACGCAGTCAGTAGCCACCGCCGTGGATTATCTATTTATCTACATATATGTTAATATATATATAAACCT